CTGGAGTAATTTTATGATAAATGGAGCTCAGGAAGTTGGATTTTTTTGGCTACAAAGACAAATTTTACTATCTACCATAAAGTACATGTACCTTCTGCCAATTATGGTATGGTCACATATAAGTAACCGTTCTCTTTCCCTCCCTCCTTCCTCACTTACCTTGCTTTCTTTGAATGACTCATCTTCTTTTGAGTGCTGACCATTGGTTGTAGCTGACTCTGGAAGTTCTTGAAATTCTTCACAAGTTCTCTCTGATAGTCGTATTGCTCCTCTCCAATCAACTCCTCATTCCTTTCAAGAGCTTCTTGACAACTAAAGAGAGGGAGAAAGAGAGAAAGAGAAAGAAAGAAAGAGAGAAAAAGAGAAGACAGTTTAGTAATACCAAGAGTACATAATGTGAACTCTTAGTATTAGTCTGGTAGTGTGGACTTGTGATGTACCGCTTGGTGAATTCTTTGAAGCAAACTTTGAGCTTATGATGAAGATATCCTTGCTCAGGTAGAGGAACATCTTCTAGGAAACACTTAGCAATTGCGAAAGGACCCTGAGAAGAGAAAAGAGGAGGAGGAAGCATAAATAAAATGATATAGTTTTATAATTATTAGTAGTATACCTGGTTAACAGCTGTAGCTATTCCTCCTTGCAGCTGCATTTGAAGTAGTTTTGAATCGCAAGGAGTACGATTGAGGACAGCCTTCAGTTCGTGTATCTTTGATTCCATATTTAAAATGGCTACCTCAAGAGGTTTAAGCTTAACAGTATCAGTCCTTATGACCTCAAGACGCCTTTTAACGTATGGGAAACTCTTCTCAGTGGTGAGTACTGTCCTCTTCATCCACTGATTGTGGAGTTCACCATGAGCTTTACCACCTGGTGTGAATGGGGTGCTGAAGAAGAAACGTCCTAAAAATAAAACAGTGTTACTAATAATAGACTTTATGCTATTTATAGTAACATTACACTGTTACTAATTATAGAATGCATGTGCTATTAATAGTATCATTGCTTACTGATGTTGAATGATTTATCAAATACTGTTAGTCTCTTTTTCAGTTCCCAGTCCTCGAAATATGGCTCTACATAGGTCACCTGTATGTAAGCCTTTCCTCCGTCAAGTTTTGAAGTATCGACTTCGTTTGAGTCCTTGATGATCTCAACCTTTTCAGAACCTAACTGCTCGCTGTAAAGGTTCTAGAAAAAAAAGAAGATAAAATGATTGTAATATTAGCTATAAAACTTCCAAAATTTGAACAAAAAATGAACGCAATTTGATTAAATCTTAACATTTTTTATTAATCACACATGTACATGTACATTT